GGTTGACCGGCTGTATCAGGTGGGGTTGAGGTTTGTCGGCTAGCGGGTGTGTAGGGGTGAGAGCTGTGATTTTACCGGTAACGGAAGTGAGGGTTGCGTGTGTGCCGAGCGAGGAACTTACTGCGTCACGCCAGATTTCTGTTTGTTAATGAGTGGCGTTATTGTCATTTTCAGTTATTTTTCCTTTTTTCTTATCCATTTCGCGTGTGTTGCTATTTACATTACCATATCCAACTTTTAATGAAATTTTTTGTGTCCAATTTAATGTTGGATATTTTTTAAAAGAGATTGAATCTTTGAATTTTTTTAAACTAATATTGGAGGTTTCGAATTTGCCACCTCTTTTAACATTAAAAAGAGAAATACCATTAAATCGAGAACTAATTAGTTGAATTAATATATTAAAAGATAAGTAGTTAAAAATTTACTATATTGCTCAGAAATCATTAAGGATCTATTATCTGATTTTTCTTTTAATTTAAATTTTTTTTAATATGAAAAAGTTTAAATTTACCATATTATCCTCACTTAATTAATAATTTCAATTCTTAATGTTTGCATTAACCAAGGGCATTTTTTGGTATTTTGGATGTTTCACCATTCTCTGCCTTTTGCTTTATATATATAGATATATATATACTCTGCCTTTTGCTTTATATATATAGATAATAAGTTACATTGATTTAATTTACGGGAATAAGGACTCGAACTTAGATGCAAGGAAACAGATTTACTATTCTGATGAACTGATTTAACCCACGATGATAATATTTGTTACTATAGTTGATTATCCAAATGAGTTAAGAGATGGGTGGGGAAAATGCAAGTGAACCATAACTTTCACAATTCGTTTTTATTTTATTTTCCATAATAATCTAATGGATATGGCAAATTGGCAATGATGGCATGGTAGTGAAAACAAAGGAAGTGGGTTGCAAATATTAAAATAGATTCCCCACCATAGTCAATCATTGCGGTGCCGGCGTGACACCTCAAACCTTTTCCCTTGTCGTTTCAAATTTTAAAAAAAGTAGGGGTGGGCATTTCTACCGAAAAACCGACCGAACTGCCCGAACCGGACCGTATTAGGTGGTTTGGTTCGGTTTTAATACTTAAAAATTAAAGAACCAGCAAAAAAACCGGCCGAACCGGAACTAAACCGGGTTGAACCGGTTTTTTTTTCATTTAAACCGTAGAAAACCGAACCGGACCGCATATTTATATTTTATTTTTATTTTATTTAAAAAAAACACGTGTCAGCATATTATTCTTCGAGTCTACTCCATTCCATACTCCTTGCTACACCAGATCCATAGAGAAACTCAGAAACCCTAAGGTTTCGAAAAAAAATTCATTCCGCCTCCTCTTTCTTTCTTCTTCGTTCTGTCTTCCTCTCTCTCTCGCCTCCTCTCTCAGTCTCTCGCCTCGCCTCCTCTCTCAGTCTCTCGCCTCCGCCTCTCTCACTCTCTCTCATCACGATCTCATCACGAACCTCTCAAGTTCTTCCTTCTTCTTTGTTTTCCAGATTTTTCTCACTCTCACTCAGTCACTCAGTCACTCTACCAGTCTCATCACTCGACTCTCTCGCCTCTGCCTCTCTCAGTTCCTCTCAAGTTTTTTTTTTCTAGATTT